ATGGCTCGGGTCATGGACACAGCGCATAGCGAATAGGTGCTAGCTGCCAGACTGAAGGCTAGCAGGAACTGGTAAACCTTGCAGGAGATGTCACCAAGAGGCCAGGAGTGACTTACAGCAGAGTGCAGTGTGAAAGGGATGAGCAGGAGAGTTAGGAAGTCAGCCAGAGTCATGCTGAACAGAAGGATATCGAGCCGGTTCTTACGCAGTGTGTTGTGCTTGGCAAACAAAGAGAAGACCAGCAGGTTGGCACACAGCCCAATGCCCAGGATCACACCACAGGTACAGGCAAAGATTAACCCATAGGTGTTGGGAAAAGCCATGTTGTCATCGGAGTGACATCATCTGTCAGAAAAGAATGACATTTGGATTTTGAGATTTGGGTTAAAAAAGAACAATAAATTAGTTAGGGAAATAAAATCCCGATTAATGACTCAACAAGCTGAAGTCCTGTTTATATCACATTTACTCTGCTTAATGTTAACACACAAGTGACAGCTTCATCACATGGCACCTGTAAGGCTTGTGTAGACCTACGTGTCACAGTAAATGACACATATATACCAAAACACATATATGATGCAAGGCAGAGTAAATGTACTGATCAACACTTTTGTTTACTGACAAGCCAAATTTATTTCAATATCACTTTAAGACAACGCTGAAAGCTACTAAATATCTACATTTACACTAAATATAGTGTTAAACAAATTAATATGGTTTAACTCAGACGTGATAGCACTGGAAAGAGACATCAGGTTAATCATTTTTTGCTTACCATTGTTGTACCTCCATTATTAGCTCATGTCCACAAGTGAACTAACCTCATTATGTAAAATGAAACATTTGCTGGTTTGTATCCCGTTAAAACAAACTGTGAGATGTGAGAGCCTCTAAGGACTCATTACAAAGTGTGATCGCTGAATGTGAAGGCAAGAAAGGCAAACATTACTTGGGCCAGATTGATTCTGGTTGACTAGGTTTAAAGAGAAATGGACTCTGGTCACTCTGGGAGAGATCAGTGATATACAGTGCATACGTGTTTTGTTAGCATTCATGTTTCTTAGTTTTGTTATATGATATTTGAAGGTCTGTAGTCTAGCAGTACATGAATAGACAACACTGGGCTATTTAGGGAGATAAAAGGTGCTTTGTAACAGGTCTGGTCTGGCAATTAATCATCAAAGCTAACTAGGCACCTATGTAAACCTGAGCAGATGATAAACACACTGATAAATGTGAATGTCCTATAAGATGTGTGGCAACAGCAGCAATGAGCATTGCAAAAGTAAACAGTAGCAGTTTTTCTTTAACCTCTAATCAAACAAAAGTGTTGATCATTTCACTAATGTGATATTTGCAGTACGATAGTGATAAGTTTTACTTGAGGGAAAGATTTCTTTTGCATTTAAAACATGAAAAAGAAAGAAAACGGGGCTACTGCAGTAGGCCTACCCTTGATGGTAGGCCTACTGCAGGAGTTCAAAAACCAATTCACTGTATTTATATGAAATGTTTAATGTCTGAGTGCGTATGCCCTGTGAGCCAAACACTTCCTGTCAGAAGTCTATTTAGAACTAGAAACGTCTGTTCTTGAACACAAGCAACAGAATGAAAGCTTTTCCAAGATTTGGCAGTTCAAGCTGACATTGTGCCAATTTCACTGTTTTATGTTTGAATGTGATATCTTAGCCCTGAGATGTTTTTCTTGAGATTTTCTTATTATTCATCACAAATGTTCACTTGGACTCAAGGATGAACTGATTAGATTTTATTTTTACTTCATAAAACAAGTTCTTATTCTAATTCTTACAAAAATTTTACACAAATTTCTAATAGGATAAAATGATAAAATAATAAGGTTTTAAAACCAAAAGGTCAAAGTTCACCTTCACTACCCCATTAAACACTCCACCACAACTAAGGAACAGAGGGAAAGATGGATTTATGTTATCTATGTTTCGTAAGTAGGCACAGCAGCGACCTGTCTTTGATAGCAACAAACTAGCATTAGCTTCACAAGCTTTTCACCAGTACTTACCTGCAGTGTGCATTTGGTTATATGTGTGGACCAAAGAGAGGGAGCAAAATACTGAAAACTCTACATCAAATGTAACCTGAGAGCATATAAAGAGAAATGCATGAATATAAATGTGCTTACCTCTCTCTTTACCACTAGTCTTTGGTGTATTATAAACCATCTTTTGCTCATATTATGTTTTTTTGATGTTTTGTTTTTGTTTTCTCTTGTTTTGTTGTTTTTCTAATCCCATAATATGGCCAGTGAGCGATGTCAAAAAAACCCCCACCTAGCTCATTGATTATGTTCTCTGTCCTTTCACGTCTCTAGATATTAATTTTTCTCTGCACTGTTTGATTTCTTCAGTGTGAGCTGCAGGCTCCTAACGGTGGCTTTATCAGGCTTTCCACAGCTTTTATGACTCATTTTAGCTAATGGTGTACACTGCTGCTCTTAGTTCAGGATAGCTGACGTCGATGCATCTGCTAACCCCTCCATTATCGGTGTCTGTATCTTACGTTCAGTGGCTGTTAAAGTGCCACGTGTTCTCAAGTGGAACATTAACAGCTTCATTGTGTTCTGTTCATGCCGAAAGTCAACAACACTGTTTTTCACGCTGCTACCTTCAGCAAACATTTTAAACGTCTGTTTTGACCCAAATGTTACACTTACTATTATTCGTACTATTTTATCTTGATAATAATACAGCATTTGTAACTATTTTTCAAAGACTTTGAGGGAAAACTTACTATGAGCACTATAATAACAATATAATATAATATAATAATTAATCAGTTATTGGATAAATAAAACGTTTTTTTCAGACAATGTTGTAATCTTATATGATTCACAGAATTCATGGAATATGTTTCTATTCTGAAGTGCTGGTTAAAATAAAAAAAGCAACTTGGTAGTGATCTCAAAGGCAATACACGGTCACAATAGGCTCTTAAAAATTGCATTTTCTAGCTCAGATTAGTTATTGATGATGCAAATAATCCCTTGTGTTGTCAGAAAATGTATATATTGCATACATACATCTGTAGGATATAAAAGAGTACTGAACGCCAAGTTTACTTATAATGGGTTGGATCCCCTTTTGCTCTCAGAACTGCCTTAACTTTTATGTTAAAGATGCTCCTCAGGAATTTTGGTCCACGTTGACATGACAACATCACACAATTGCTGCAGATTGGTGATGTGAATCTCCTGTTTCATCACATGCCAAAGGTGGTCCAGCAGGTAGAGATCTGGTGACTGTGGAGGCTGGTGAGTGCAGTGAACTAATGATCACATTCAAGAAACCAGTTTAAGATGATCTGAGCAAGTTATCCTGCTGGGAACAACCATTAGAAGACGGGTACACTGTGAAAAAGCGATTACTGGGTAACATTACTCAGGCTGTGGGATACAAGTGATGCTCACTTCATTTCTAAGGGGCTCAAGTGTGACAAGACAATATCCCTAACACCATTATACCACCAGTAGCTGGAACCATTGATACCATTGATGGAGCCATGCTCTCATGTTGTTAATGCCAGATTCTAGCCCTACCATCCAAATGCTGCTGCAGAAACCTAGACTCATCAGACCAGGCAACATTTTTCAACTATTTTATTGTCTAGTTTTTGTGAAGTTGTGTAATTTCTATCCTTGGGTTTTTGCTCTTAGCACAGCACTTGGTGTGGGCTTCATCAAAGGTTGATTTGTCGTGCTGTGTGAGTGTATTTCCAATCTAACCATTCTCTGATCTCTGGCATCAAAAAGGCATTTTTTACCCAGAGAACTGCCACTCAGTGAGTATTTTCTCTTTTTTAGACTATTCTTTGTAAACCCAAGAGATGTTTGTGTTGGAAAATCCCAGTAGACCATCAGTTTTTGAAATATTCAGACCTGGCTATTTGGCACCAACAACTATGCCACGTTCGGAGTCACTTAAATCACCTTGCTTTCCCATTCTTAAACTTGAGCTTTAGCAGGTCATTCAGGTCATCGTGCCCATGGCTAAATACACAAGGTGTGACTGGTTTATTAGATAGTTGCATTTGAGTAGCTCAACATATCTACCTAACAAGTTGGCCATTGAGTTTAGGATTTCTAGGTGATACAGACCGACACAGTTCACTGCATCATAATGTTGTAGTGTGACACCCACGAGGAGCTGGCAATGCCTGGTTAAAGGGGGATATTTTGCTGATAATCATATGATCAGGTCTGTGGTAAAAAACTAAAAATAAAATGTTTTTTTCATGTTTTTTCTTAATTCATCCTCTCTAAAGACTTGAGCTGTGACTTGAACCATGGTTTTAGAGGATTATTAGTCTCCTAGTAATTTGCCATTTCTAAATTTTCTCTTATTTTCTACATTTGTATAATTTGAATAACAAATTCACAATTATCAGTGCCTTTATACGCTTCTTTTTCTCTCTTTTTTTTTTTTTTTTTTTTGCTTTATTTTGGTCTCACAGTCAAAAATTAAATATTAAAAATATTAAATGCTTTATTTTTAGAAGGAGTCCCAATTAATCAAATTATTTGAATAATTTTTCTCAGCAAATCATTTTGGCTCTTTCTTAATGCCAGATTTTCCATTTGAGCTGCATATATCCTGGTAATAAAGACACAGAGAATAAAAAATAGCTCTAAGGACTACATATTTAATGTTTGAATAACTGGAAAATTATACAGTATGCCCTCAGTGCACGTGCAGAACATTATCCAGTAGATGATTCTGGCTTAATGTAAAAGAAAAATCCAATGTTAAGTGATTGAAGTGGGTTTAATGAAGCGTACGCTGAGTTATCTAAGGTGTGAAAGAAAAGCAGGACCATCATAGAAAAAAAAAATTACTAAACCATAATCTCAACCACAAAAGAACATATACAGGATATAGCTAAAGTGCATTATGGGATTTAGTCAGCAGCACTGAAATACATTCACAAAATAAATATACATTTTAAAGTACAATAAATTATGAACTGATGTATTCATTGACCAGTTTGTTGTGTGTAAGTCCATAACGGTCAGCACTCAGAGCCAAACAAAAAGCAGGGTGCCCAGCATCGCATTATTTGTAGAAGTTATCATGTATAGGAAATAAATACTTCCTCCCGTGCTCTTGCATACATCTGAAACTACAAAACATATCACTGCTTGGAAGTATATCAGGGCTGCAGAGTTGTAAAGATTTTCCAAATAAATATGGACCTAAGCAGGCGTTATCATGAAACTAAAATGAAGTGTGAGATTGTTTTACAGCAAAAATACAAACAACAAAGCCAAATATTAATATACAAGCACAAACTCAGGGTTAAGATATAAAGTGACTGAGTCTGGCATCGTTAGTCTGTCAGGCATCAGTCAGCCTGCGTCAGTGTCTTAGTGCAGTACATAAAGGGTACTGTTTTTTTAATTTTTTGCTTTTAGATAGCCATCCGTGGTGGCGCCTTTGTTAGAACAGACCGTGCTCGCCTCCTCTTCTTATCGTTTTCTCTACGCCGGCCCAGCCTCACCTTTTTTTTCCTCTTGGTGGCAACTTTAAGTGACTCCTTGTAAGCCTGAGCTTTGTTGGTCTCCTGAGGGAGGTTAGGGCCCACTCTGTCCTGCCTGAACCTGTCAGAGAGATCTTTGGTGGCCCCCGAGGGCTTCTGGTGGTTTCCACTGAAGCTTTGGCTCGAGGTTCTGCTTTGCGCAGGTGGAGCACGATCATCAGCCGTGTGCACCTCCTCCAGCAGCTCGTGTAGCCACATGCGGCGCGTGTACTCATGTATGGTGCGGCCCTTATCATGCATCAGCTGGGTGTGGCCTACTGACCTCTTCCTTACAGCAAAAAAAAAAGTGCCAAAGTTAGATTAAATTGTATCAAAAACAAAGGTAGTAAAAAAGCCACATGGTGGACTATTAGATATCCGTTTCAGTCTCTGATATCTCTTAGATTACTGCTGAACATTAATCCCAGAGGAATATATCATTTCCTCTGGGATTAATAAAGTGTCTGATTCTCAGTCAGTCATTTAAGAACTTTTTTTGTTTAAATTTTATTTGACATCTCAGTGTTAAGTTAATAGAAGAAGTGGTTGGCTATTATAAATTTTAGGTCAGGCTTTATGAAACCTCAATACAGTAGGTGGCAGCATAAACAAGTGTGAGAGCTGTCACTAATCTGAGTTTGATATGGACCTAAAACAGAGAAAACATCCCATGCCTTACTTTAAAATATTCAAACTGCAGAAAATCTCAAATATTTTTTTCTTAAATTGCTAGCTTTTCGAGATCTTGCATAGAATTTGTTTATTCGTTTTTTTAAAGGTATCACAAAGGTAACTCACATTCTGCTACTAAGTGCATCAACTGGTCTCCCATCGAGAGTCACCGGAGAGCACAGCAAGAACACAGCCAGACTCCACTGATGAAGCACGACTATAGAGCACATCCCTGAGGCAAAAACGTAAGCAACACAATAAATATCATCAGTCTCTCTAATGAGTAATGAATTAATCCTAAACTGTGTCTGTTTTTTCAGTAGAGTTCGTTTCATCTGAAAAATGACACACACAGCCTTTAAACAGTCCTCTAAAAATATAAACATTTAAACTTACTTTATTTCCAGTGAAAATCCCCCCCAAAAAACCGTAAGCTCTTAAGTGTTGATGTTCTTGCAAAAATGATTTCACAAAAAAGATGTGTGAAAATTAATGTGCCAAACACAATTTGGCCCATTCAGAACTTGTGAGCAGATCCATTGGTGTAAATGTAGCCTAGGGAAATCCCCTCCGAGTCGACTCCATTAATTTGCCTCCCAACAGTGTGTGTTAAGCTATTTATAACTTCCCAGTGTCCGAATAAAAGTGGGATAAAGATAGAAAGAAGAGAAGCCCATCAGCTGCAGAGCCACAACTCTGCTCAGTCCTGCAGTAATCTCATGTGAAGTCGCACTGAAGCATCATCTGCGGTAGTCAGAGCTGCTGAGCCGAGCTGAGAGCTCCGTGTGTGAGCCTGTGTGAGTCCGTGTGAGAACAGGCACTGAGAGAAAGTCAAACTCCTCTTTGGGTGAAGATGCATGCGCTACCTCAGCCCCTACCCATTAAGTCCAGTGCTAACACCCTGCCCAACCTCCCAACCCTCACCTCACTCTCACTCCCCACCAACCCTTCACTCACACCTGCTGTGACATGAACGTGGCACTGATGCAAAGTCCAGTCATACAACAAACAGCGTACTGAAAAAAACAACTAATGAATAAACATATATTTAGAGGAATTTCTATGGAATTTCGCCATACTTTCAAAATGCAGTCTACTAGTATATTTTCATTGGGTGCTCAGAAATGACAGGTGTGCACCAGTGTAGGTAATCACGAGTTACCAAGCAGAGAGTGAATGGTATAAGGGGAGGGGCAGGGTTACTCCAAAGTAAACAGCCAGGCCTAACCACTTTCCCAGGGGAGAATGACCATAACCTCAGAGAAACCCAACCCACAGCCTCTCACTGCAGACCATTCAGTTCACCTCCACTCTGCCTCTGCAAACCAGCTCACCACCAAATGGTTACAGTGGGTTCTGAGGTATCTTTCATATTCAGCTCATAATGAGACTACTGAGGTTTGCATTAAGGCAGCTGTATACAACCTGAGGTTCACTATGCATATTCAGGTGCTGAACCGAGTCTCGAGTGCCTAGTGATTTAATAAATGCACTTGTTAAAGCTTGGCACTCTCACATAAGAGGTGCCTCTGTGACTAAAAGTGCATGTATTTTTAGTCTCACATTGACAGACAGTGCATCATGTCCCAAGTGTGGAAGTGCATGCAGCAAGAAGGAGTGTCTTTTTTAAATATAATGTATTGCTTATATTTGAACCTTTGTTTTTGTTTTTCTGAAAAGCCTGATGTACACAATCAGACACTTGCAGTGCTACTGTGAGCAATAAATTGTGCAGAAATACCAGATGTAGCAAAAATAATAAAAAATTAAAACTCAAATATACAAATTGACATTCAATCTTCAAGTGCCCCAAGTTTCAGTAACATTAGATTTTCAAAATAATATGAATTTTCTAGCAATTATTTCATGGGTCAGGTTTTACAGTGTTAATTTGAACTACAACTCCTGTCACCATTTGAAAAGCTGGGCTAAAAAATAAGTGAAAACATTCATTTATAATTTACTAGACCAGTATGCAAACAAAGACGTTTTTGGAATAGTTTCTTAATTTGATGATTTTTATATAATTGCACATCTCACAAAACAGATATATTTATGTTTTATCAAACGTGCTACCAGTGCCACGCTAAAGTCCTAAATGCGGCACAGCTATTTGTATTGAGCTAAATAGAACTCTACTGTTTTTACAAGCTTTGTCACTTGTTTTTTATCTTTAATCATGCATGCTTTGTCTGGTATCTGTGACAGCAGGCTAATGTTTCTGTATGTTTATGACAAAGCACATCACTGGCAATAGAGTTAACATAGCATGGAGGAAGCTAAAAGCCAAGGGTCCTCTAGTTTAAAGTTTGCACTGCTATGCCAACAACTTTTGTTTGATTGCAAATTTTTTTGACTTACCTGGAGTTTGCATGGCTCACTAGTTCAGATGGTGCTTTCCCTGTTGGCTTCTTTCATCCATGCTTACGTTTGTAACATTTCGTCAGGAAGATTTTATTACACATGTGACCATGTTTTGTTGTCACCTCAGTTAATATCCGGTTACTTATGAGCTCAACTCCACAAGATGAGGTGCACTGGCAGTAAAAGCATGTAAGTGAGAAACTACCATGACCATAAATGACTGCTGTATGCATAAAGACTCTCACACTAAGCTGAAATCAGACTAATGGAAAATAAATATTAATAAAAGTTGTTAAATAGGAAATCCATATTTACATTTTTTATTAGACCCCTTGTCATAATGTAATTTTTGTCGTCTGCTTGCAGAGTGAAATAAAGCCTCTTGATTTATTAATCAAATCTGAAATTGGCATATTTTAGAAATCTATATACTGTTAGCATTTATCTAGTTTACTATTCATATTTTGTTCCTTCCTCCATGTTTTTGTTTAATATTTTAAACTCCCCTGTGTCCGCTTCTGTGTGTGTAGTCTGTGAGATCTAGTTGCCCGTTGACATTTTGGTTTAATTGTGGGTTTTTTTTATTAACAATTATTGCTGTTTATATTATGCACACCTGTATTTTAAGCCTTTTAGTTTGTGTTCTCCTTACTGTTTTATAAAGTCTATTATTTGTACTTTGTTTCCTCAGTGTTCCTTTTGTTCAGTGAGTCTGTGTCTGTGTATAAAAGTTGTCCTTTGAGTTAGATTCAAGTTTACTTTGGTAGTTAGTTGTGTCCTGTGTTGAGTTTACTTCCTCCCCTCCCTCACTATCTTGGTTGTCTACAGCTATGTCTAGTTTGGTCCCCTCTATATTCTTGCTTTTTGGACTTTGTGTCTCTGAGTCTTGACCTGGGCTAATGAAAACGGTTGCTTTCTGTTTTCTTACTCTGTCTCCTGTGTTTTGGGTCCTTTTAAAAGACTTCCCTATAACATCAGCTGTCTGACTAACAGTCAGACAGTTTGTACATAACTCCAGATTTAGTCTTTTCTTTCTTAAATATTGTTTAGGTTGCTGGGATATTTGAATTGCTTTACTGATGAATTTTGTCACGCACTATTTGGTTTTCTTTCTTTTCATTTGGATTTTGAAACCCAGCATTGTGCCTGCAGTTTATTACAATAATAACCAGCACTTATTCAAATGCTGGTTATGTAAGTCTAAATGTAAGTCTTTTTTTTATTATGTAAAAAAATGCAATGTAATGTACACGATGAACAGACTCCGCAATTGTTCATCTATTAATATTTATATATTATTTCTAAGGCAGTAAATACAGTTTATTCAAAATCCTGAGTCATTTATGTAGTTGCTGTAGCTTGCTGTTTTACTGGATGGAATAACTGGCGTTTATCCTCATGAAAAGGAACCATAAATAATTTCTGTGTGCAGTGATGATTACTAGAATCACTTCAGGGCAGTCTGGAGACCAGTTGGTGGTAAATTATTTAATAGAGGGCTCTGTATTTTACAAGCAGTCATGATTCAGTTCAGCAAGGTGTCCAGAAAGGGTTTGGGGCTAGGACAAATATATGGCGGACCCCCCTGCTGTCTCCCAAATTTTAGCTTTCTTCTCCTGCCAGTGAGTCTGCCCCAAACTTCCAACACTTAAACATTTGGTAGGGAAAAAATACCTCATCTGATTCCGTTCTGCAAAGACTTTACCTACAAGAAATATGAAAAAAATCCCATTTCCTGGCAGACTGCAGCATATGGAATAGGAGCCAGGAAAGCTGCTTTTGATTCATGCTAAATTGCACTCTCAACACAGAACAGTATTCCTGTCGGTTTTTCATCCTTTTCACTTTGCCCCTACTTTACATTCGCACATACAGAACATATACACACCCGCCCACTCTACTTTCAAAAAATGTGGAACCAACCGGCATTGACACACATTGCATTCACAGAAACACCTTCATTTCATCTTTAAATTCAGAGTTCATCATCTATTTTTAGATGCTTTTTACCCATTGCCTGCACTGGCCCACCCTATTAGGTCATAAATCCTGTCTCAAGATGCAGTCACAGTTCCTGCTTTTGTTGTGGAGTTGCATTCAGAGTCACCATGTGGATGTATGATTTTGATTTTAGCAGTTCCCTATGATCGCAGTCAACATCCTTTATTATATTATAACTATCTCAAAGTTCGTCTTTAACTCTGAATGCTGTTTGTTCTTTAAGAGGGATTAAAACATTTTAGTAAAAATAAAAGCAGTAGAATTTCTTTTTAACATCTGTAGTTTAGTATAAGCTTGTTTGATATAAATATGTGACAATAATCAGCTGCAAGGAATAAAGTTTTAAGTTTTAATGTGTGTTTGATAATGGTTCCTTTATTACGCAGTCCGGACTTTGATCGTTTGACCATTTGTTCACATGAGAACTTCAGGTTTGTTATCCTGGAAAACCTCACTTGAAGAATGACTTTTGCAGAGTTACTTTCCCCTCTTAATGGTTTTTTAACGGCGAATTTCTGTATGGACCATTTCAGTTAGTTCATCTGAGGCATGCTTCATAATGTCGAATTGTGGGAAGTTGGAGGAGTTTTCTGCAGATCATTCACACCTACCAATCATAACTGTCATCCAAGGAATGCTCTTTATTCCTTTTTACCTTCAGCTATTTTCATCAGCTCGGCTACAGGGGCCCATTTTTATTCACAAGTACTCCTGAGGCAAAATGTTAAATTGATCCACTCTGTTTTCTTTGCGTTTGGTGGTTTATTGATGCTTAAATCGTCACTTATTTAAGAGCAGGTTTTGAATATCAAGCACATACTTTAGTGAATGAAATGAAATCTGTATTAAGTTGAGTTTACTTTTTTTTTTTAACAAACTCACTTAAAATGGGGGAACTTTTAAAAATGCATATGAAGTGTAACTATCATGTTTATAAGTCCTAGGGATGTGGCACATTTAATGCATTGTTTTTGTACTGTATGATCATGAGATTTTAATAATATAAGCATCAAATTGACCAAATACTCAGCTACAATATATTTAACAGTTTTTGCCTAAAGTATCATTTTGATTTACTTTCTTTTAGGGGTATTTTTTTTCGCCCCATGACGGTCTGATCATGGGGCAAACACTCTGCCTACTGAGTTATCCCCCCACCCTGCCCTGACCTGTATTATTGAGCTTCTAGAATGTCAGAAAAAAATTGGCACACTGTGTTAAAT